CAAGATGGAAGGTGGAAAAATGAAATCGATTGCTTACCACTGGCAGAAAGTAGCACATGCTTACATAGAATGGTTAGTTAATGAACCAATCACGGCTATTAATAAAAAATCAAATCTAAGGACGATATGCTTAGTAATGCTTCATGCAAATGCAACCCACAAGCTAGATAGCCTTGCATATCCTTGGAGTCTTTTCTTTCCTCCTGTCGGGTAAGTCTTCTTTGCAGTACAATTGAGTACTCGAGTTTTATTCCCGTTGCGGTGTGCAATTGGATGCTAAAGCCACGACTCTTGTGTGTGGATTCCTCCCGGTGGGTTCAAATAGGATTTCCTTTACGTCATGATCATAGTTTTTATTTATAACTCTTACCAAATGTTTTCATAAAAGAAAGTTTATAACTTTGTTGTCATAGTTTACATATCAATACTTCATCATGTCATTAATAGATGTTTATTTCCGCCGTAACCCTGTTCACATATTTATATTTCGTTGTTCAAATAAATGATTCACAACTCTGATAATATGATTACATTCCGCTATTATAATAATAAATGTCATACTCTGATGTTGTATTAAAAGTGATGTAAGAAATGGTTATGAATGATGTAAGCTTTATTCTCTCATTTGTGATCTGATGGCAAAAATGTGGATTTTTAAGGTTCTCCCACTGGGTGTGACCAAAACCGAGTAATTTAGTGTTCTCTCGAAAGTGCTTAGTGTTTAATGGAAGACAAGCACTTCGTGAGGCATTAGATTAGGCGGTTCTCGCCCCATTGAGACTTCCGAGCTTGCAACTAATGCATCTCCTACTACAGAGGTTTGGAATCTCCTACTACGATTGTAATGGTGAGTTTATTTTGAATATCTCGCACCCTAATTTGTGCAGATCTTGAGTATTAGTGTGCACTAGGTATTAGGGCTGTTCTTAGTTTTGTTAACTACATGTGTGCATTTTGTGGTTCCCCTCTGTTATTGTTGATTTATATTCAACCTGTATCGGGTTCATAAACCTAGGGTCCCTCATGACCGGCTTCGAATAAAGGCTCGGCCCAAGGCATAACGCGCAAACTCATGGGCCGCCCAAGTACCTAAACGACAGGCGGGATGGGCGATCCAATCTCCGACCAGGAAGGCTTGGCCGAGGAGGAATGGCACCCACTTCCGACTTCTAATCCACCTCTCTGAATAGGAGCTCGCTTTGGTCTCCAAATTACCTCCGGACGGCCTCTCCGACCGAAGGCTCGCCGACACCACTTCCCGCCTCGACCCACGCCTCCGATGGGGATGCGCTTTAAACCCCTACTCACCGCTTCTTCTCTCGATGGCGCGATGAGGGGTCGGCTAGGACCAACCGGACTGGGCACCCGCCGTAAGGACCAGAAAGCAGGGACAGAGAAGGTAAGGCGAGGCGCACAAGTCAAACCACAATACCGGGACCGTACCACTGTACACTGTAGAAATAGTACTCTGCGCGACCTCCACGGCATGATGTAACCCAAGCAAGTGTTAGGGCGCCATATTTTTCCCTATAGTATTGTAGGCGCCATTAACTCCCATACAGTGCAAGCTTCTCCACATGCCTCTCAGGCATCGGCAGTTATGTTGTGGGCGTCGGCATTTACCATACCAAAGTAATATGGTAAAACCCCTTGCATGCCTCCGTGTATCAATGCAGTGTGGCAGACGCCGAGCGCCCCGCCATACCCAAGCACAGAAGACAGCACAATCTCTCCCCACGCATCCGACATTCAACAAGATTGTAGGCGCCTACCATCGCCTTGTACCCACCGGCGTGGCGCAAGAAGACTTAGCAATGAACGATTGCATCCCTCTCATTTGTAAAGCCATCCCCTTCATCTATAAAGGGGATGTGCTCTCTTCCAACAGATAGATTCATTAGATCGATCAAGTTCACTAGTCCACAACAATGTGAACCTCGTGTTCAAACCACGAGCACACGCTCAAACACTTAGCGCATAGCGGGCTCCCGTCACCTCGGCTCCTCGACCCGTAGTCCCGACCGGCCTCTTGTACCCCCCATCTTTCTCCTTTTCTCGCTTGTAACCCCATCGCAAACTTCGAGCACTGGGCTCGAGGATAAAGTCTTAAGACCGACTCAAACCGGGACGTAGGGCACGCTAGTTCGAACCAAAGATAAACCCTATGTCATTGAGTGCTAGACCACCTCCGATCACAACGTACGGCAAAACTATAAATATTTACGTGTTGGTCATTTTCTGCACCGACACTGTGCGTTTCTCTATATTTCTGAATGACTATGCATATGAATGTAATACTGCACACAAACCAGGTGGGGAGGGGAGGCAGGGGGCCTAAGCTAAGAATAGAATAGGCGGGAGAAGAGATGGCAGACACAACAGCATCTGTTGTGTGTTTTTTGCTGCGGCCGGTTTGGGGCTGCTTGGTTCTTCAGAGATACTATTATGTAATACTGACTTAGCCTGGATGCATGCTTGTGGTTTTAGTTTTCTCGATGGATCCAGGGACGTCACAACCATTGCTACATGTGCTATCAATATAGAGAGCTGCCGTTTGGCTTTGTGTGAGTGGCTTTGTGGTAGTGACACCAACTCTTGAGGCATCCTGCTCCTTCCTACTAGTGGTACCCAATACCCACTACCCTCGTCCCTCCCAGCTTGCTACTCCTTGCCCATCCTTCCAATTCCATAAGCAGCAGTGCCGTGCCGGGGAAGATGACGACGACATGCACCGGATCAGACTTTTCGCCTTTTTGGTGTATCTTAAATGGCCAAATGCAAGCCTTCCTGTACCAAAGTCAAGTAATAGATCCTTGCGTTTCGCTCTTAATTCAAGCTTTGCTGTTTTGGTAGAATGATATGATTGCAAATACATACAGTACTATAATTATATGAACTTCAATTCCCTTCTCTCGCCAATCATCGCCGGTATATATAACATCCAATCTAGAATTCTGAATCGTAGTACATGTCTATCTGGTGCTGGTGATCACTAACATTTAAGAGTATATGTGAAGGTAGTCATGTAACTGTCCATAAAATCCAAGGGCTACAGGCCAAAAGTTAGGTGCAAGTCCTAACTGAAAGTACTCATATATAACCCAATAGAGTATGTACTAGTAATTGGCGCCACACTTTGCTGCTGTTTAAAATTACCTCCAGTTCGCCCTGGCAAGCTAGGCATGTGCATGACAGCTCTGTTGCAACCTCCCTTGCATCGGACCCTTTGGTTGTAGGGCACCTATATAACTCTGTACCCCTAAAATCTTGCTATGTGGTTAACTGTTTTCCCTGTACTTTGAAATGAGGATTCTTCAGCAGGTGATGGCCGCCAACAAATCAGGCACCTTTATGTAATATACTGGTTTGATCTTGTACACGGTCTGGATAGCACCATCCATTTTCTTCCTATTCTGGATCAATGCTTATTACTACCATATTGTTTCATTTGTTGAAATGGTTGCTGAAATTTTTTTATTTGAAAAATAAGGATAAAGATTAAGTGTGCTCACTATTGGATTGCCTTTTTTGGTTTTATTTCATAAGTCTGACATAGAGTGTTCTCTAAAAAATGGTTCTCAGCCTATGTGTATATATTCAGACTTTATTTGTTCGTTACCATAAGACACCCGCAATGCACGCCATAATTGCTTTCTTTTTCATACACAAATGCCTTGTGTATCAAACTAAATTGCTAGTTTTTATTCCCACGTACCTGGCCCAGCTTTAACTTGTCCCTCCAATTTATTTCATTGTTGTGTGTCAATAACTTTCGTATATTGAGAATATCTTTCTCCTTGAAGTTGTATATTGTACGGCCATCCCAGTGCTCAGCATGCATGAGCATATGAAATCCACAATCATGGCTGTGATAACACAATGTGCAACACTTATTAGATTTAGCTGATGTATAGAATCTACAGCACAAGAACTGGTTTTAATTTTCAACTTACTTATTCGATTGTTTTGGCACACCAATGTCCACACCTCGTAGTTCTCTGATTCTTTTTTGAGTTTGGGTAGTGTTTCCTCCAGAGAGTTTTAATGCCCTCCATGATGGTGTTGCAGCTTTTTTCTTAGCCTTTCGCCTCCAAACTCCTCATCGAGTCCATTACCTCGAATCTTTTTCCCTTAGGTTTAGAACCGTAAGTAGTAGTGTCCCTACCGTATCCGATCTATTGTTTCTCATGGCCTCAAGCATGTGGAACATTACCTATGTTGTTTTTGTTCACATCTCGTTAGGAACACAATAAATCTGAATATTCGGAATTTTAGGAAAACATTCATATGTAAACACACCATCTGACGGTGGTCGAGGTTGTTATCAGCACGCCTGAATACGCGAGTCACTTGATTCCTATCAAGCTAGCCCAATTGTAGAAATGTCTGCCAAAAAAATTATCCCATTCTCTATATTGTTCCAAGTGCACAACTTGTATATCGTGCATATGCATTGATCTATTTTTATGTTACCTTCCACCGTCAACATTGTCTTCAATTATCACATTTTTTTATTGTATGCGCAGGAAAATGGCTAGAGGACTTCGACAACAAAGCAACACGCATCTTCTTCCAATCGTGTATGTCCATACTTTCGTTTTGTAATAATTATATATGTTGTATCTTTTCGGCACATATGTGTGCCCCAGATAGCATTTTTGTGCGCCACGGTAGCATTTTTTTATATTTTCTTAAGCATTTTACATTTGACTACTGTTCGTAGGTACAAGGAATGTTTAAGGTACAAGGAACCAAAGCTTCTCCTTCTACTTGTTAAGCTGTACAAGAAAATGACCTGAATCTCAACGCAATAGGATAAAGGCAATCGGGTTTGGAGGCCTCAATCAATATAAAATGTGATACACTACCAAGAAGGTTAGCAAATTGGGTAATGGTGGATTGTTTCGGATGTTTAGTCTTCGCAGCTTGGTGTTTCTCGGAAGAGGTGTAATTAAATCACAAATGAAGTTGTGCAAGTCTATCATGGACTTGCCAAACAATGGTGATGAAGTAAAATATGAGCTTGATGTCAAGTGCAATAGACTTCATTCAAAGCCAAGTATAAAATTGCTTGAGGAAAAGCACCTATGGTTGGGGCAATAGTGAAAGGAGTGCAGTCCACCAAGAGAGCTAGTGATGATTTTCTAAGGTCTTGGCTGATGCTTGCTGTTTCAACATTCTTGTGCCCCCTACCAGCATGGGAATCAGTCCTAGATGCTACCCATCAATCATGGACCTTTCTCATGTTAAAGATCTCAATTGGTGTGGCTTTGTGGTTGACTAACTCAAGAAATCGGTTTCAAAAATGGGAAAAGGAGTTTTGTTAGGGGTTGCGTTCTTTTCTTAGTTGTAAGTTCATTTCTTCTTCTTCTACCAATGTCTACTTTTTCTATTTTGCCTTGTTTGTATTTGATGATACCATTTTCTTTTGTATACGTGCTTCTTTTCAGATCCTATATGCGAGACTCTTTGATGGTTGAAAATGTTGACATCCCAAACATTTACGCCTTAGGATTGTAGCGTGGTCAAGGAGCTTGGTAGATCAGGTAGTTAAGTTAGACACCAATCGTGACGGCTTCTTTGGAAAGCTCAAGGTATGGATTATAACAGATTTGTGCATTTTTTCTTTTTCTTATCACAAAAATAACCCATGTTCCTAATCTACTCTTATTCTTTCTCTTTTAATTTATCCAAATTTTAAAAGTTCACAATCTTCATTATTCCAGCTTAGATGATGTGCGTATTCGTGTCTTCAAAGGTGTCATCAAACATGTCCGATCAGTCTGGTCCATAAATCTGATGTAGTATTTTTAAATGATTTGTTGGGCAATTACACTGCTTTGTGCTAGGCAAATATAACATAGTAGTATAGTGATCATTAATCTGTTGTTTATAATCGTCTTTCATCCTATGCTTTTCTTATTCATTAATCTTTGTATCCACATTTAAAATTTAGTCCAAGCTTTCTTGCAGTTTCCTCAAGCATTTGTTTAATGATCATGTCACTATTTTCACTTTGCGTAAAAAGAGGAAATTGACTAGTGCCGTGAGTGAGTTTTGTACTTGGTTTTACCAACCTTATGGGTACTTTCTTAGAAAAAGTATTCAAATCGAAGAACCATATTCCACAACCAGTTCTCATGGAGATGGTGTTGCATCCGAATGCCAACCACCACGTGCAAGTAACAAAGGCGCACTCAGTCCGGTGCAAACAAGACAAGCACGTGAGGATGATCAATCGCCGATGAAGAAGATGAAGATGATGGCAATCGATGATGATGAACATGATGGTGATGATGAAGAAGAACATGAAGATGAAGATGATGGCATTGATGATGAAGAAGATGACGGTGGTGATGATGAAGAAAAAAATGCAGGAGAGTATTCTTCTTCAGAGGATACAAAAGAAGAATCAGATCTAGTTGAAGATGGGGGAACTCCACCCCTTGATTTTGATGATCCAGTTGATGGCATGTTTACTGGCAACATCAGTGAAGATGAGCACAATAGTCAAGATCATGTGCCTTTTATTGTGCGGTTAAGGAGGATGCGTAAAGGTAGTAAAGTTGATAATCAAGATAAAGGCTCGACAAGCATTCAAGTCCACCGTGTCTATAGATGGCAAATCTCCAATACACTCTAGCCCCGAGAGAGCAAAAGATGATGAAAGGCCAGCTGAACCTCAACCTCTTGCATATATCCTACCTGAAAATCTTAAGAAAATAGGAATTGCACACAACAGGAAGTTGAAGCTATGGGTCGCCAAGTAACTGAAAGGAACAAAAAAGATGCGGTGTAATGTTGAAGCTACCGTTGTAACATTTTATTTCCTTTTTCTTCCATCTTTGCTTATATCTTCTTTATTTTATATGCGTGATGGTGCTGCCACAACCACTTCGGTGCACAATGTTGGAGAAAGCTGCAGTTTTAAGGTTTCTGGTTCAGAAAATATTGTCCAACAAGAAACAGGCAATGCAACAAATATGGATCCTCTAGATTTCACCCCTCCAGACTTCAAGCTTTTTGATGAAGACAACATTTCTTCCACCAAGTCTGCAGGAGGTTTTGGTGGTGCTACATGCTCACTTGATGAGATACCAGAAGAAGAATTTCATAAGTTAGAAGATGATGCCATCAAAGAGAATGAATCAAGAAAGAGGAAAGCACTGGTTGAGGAGCCTAGTAGTGGAAAACTTTCAGTTACACTTGCATATCAACCTCCGCCAAAACGAGCTTTGAAAAGGCCAGCTACTTTGCGATCACCATATGTTGATTACACATCAAAGATGGATTTCAAGTGCACTAAAGATGTTTGTGATGTCTATGATGCGGTGTGTGCACATGCAAGGTCTACTAGAGGAAGCCAACATACTGTAGTATGTGCTTATGCTTAAGTAGTTTACTTATTGTGCCTTAGCAATATTTCAATTGTAGCTTGGCAATTTAATAGTTTACTTATTGTGCCTTAGCAATTTTTCAATTGTAGCTTGGCAATCTAGTAGCTTAAGCAGTATACTTATTTAGCATATATGTTGCTGTTAATGCTTTCCACTGCCTTGCCATTCATTCTTTGGTTCAATGGCATATATGTTGCCATTAATTGCTTGCTGAATCTTCTTTCAGCAGGCTTAGACTATGAATGTTCTTCCATGGCCTGCTGCTGCTCTGCTATCATTCTTTTTGCTTACATGTGGAACCTGTTTCACTCATGGAGAAGATGTGCATGTTTCACTCAGTGTGCTATCCTGTTATACTTGTTCATGCAAAATAGTTTTATCTTATAATTGATGAACCAATTAAAATCTCTGCCAAAACCCTGAAACTAGTGGTAGCAGCAATTAGAATTTCAGCAGTAGCTAGCTGCTTGCTACTGCTATTTCTGAAAACCACCTCTGTTTGCTCAGACTTGACAAATTGGCAGTTTTAGGATAATTGCTATATAGGCAGAATATAGCAGGGAATAATGTGTTTGTTCGGTTTAGGGGACTGGAGATTGATGGATGGATCAGTTCAGTTTTGCATTAAAAATGATTTTTAGTGACTCGCTTCATAATCCTCTCATTCTACAAGTCGAGAACTCAAGATGGTGTCACAGTTCAGTTTTGCTGCACATTCAGAGTTGCTGAGCTGCTGCTCGTGTGCGTGTGTGCACTCTGTTATCACCCTTTCTTCTACCTCTTGCCGTGAGTGAGTGTGGTGTGGTGCTGGTGAGCTTGCTGCTCACCTGTGCATGGAGTCGAGGGCCAACAGGGACAGGATGGCGCTGAATCTGAGCATCACCAATGCCAATCCATCTCTCACATGTGAAAAAAAACTAGCACTACTAGCAGTACTATACTGACATGTGAAAAAAACTAGCACTACTAGCAGTACTATACTGATTTGAATGCAATATTATCCACTCCCACAATTTTTTTCAGTCTAGTATTTATTTAGTTATGGCTAAGCAGTTTATTTATTTTGCCCTAGCATTTATTCAGTTCAAGCTAAGTATTTTCTTGATTACAGCCTACCAACTTTATGTAACATCATTTTTGTTTTGTGGCTGCAAGACAATGATAATAAATTTCTGTGAGTTCTATGTCTATCTGGAGCTCCTTGCTACATCAGTTAAACCAGGAGGCCACCTACATAACACTGTTGCAGAGATAGCAATTCAAATAATTGACAGAGCGAAAACCCACGGCAAGCCCATCAAGCGTGTGCTTCCATTACGAGTCACTGTCAGATTCTATATACATTATATATACTTTCTTGCTTAATATAGTATAATTTAGCTAGCTGTAGACTTTCCCTTTTTCTTCACAATTTCTTCATTCACATTCAAATATTTTTACATCTGCCCATTACCAATTTTGTAACTGTCTTTTGGCATTCTCTTTTTTTGGCGGACATTTCTACAATCGGGCTAGCTTGATAGGAATCAGGTGACTCGCATATTCAGGCGTGCTGATAACAACCTCGACCACCATCAGATGGTGTGTTCACATATGAATGTTTTCCTAAAATTCCGAATATTCAGATTTGTTGTGTTACTAATGAGATGTGAACAAAAACAACACATGTAATGTTCCCTGTGCTTGAGGCCATGGGGAACAATGGATCAGACACAGCGGGACACTACTACTTGCTGGTTCTAAACCTAAGGGAAAAAAGATTCGATGTAATGGACTCGATGAGGAGTTTGGGAGACGAAAGGCTAAGAAAAAGCTACAACACCATCATGGAGGGCATTAAAACTCTACGGAGGAAACACTACCCAAACTCAAAAAAAGACACAGAGAACTATGAGGTTGTGGACATTGGTGTGCCAAAACAATTGAATAAGTAAGTTGAAAATTAAAACCGGTTCTTGTGCTATAGATTCTATACATCGGCTAAATCTAATAAGTGTTGCACATTGTGCTATTGCAGCCATGATTGTGGATTTCATATGCTCATGCATGCTGAGCACTGGGATGGCCATACAATATACAACTTCATGGAGAAAGATATTCCCAATATACGAAAGCTATTGACACACAAGTGGGTGACACACCCCGACAATGAAACAAATTGGAGGGACAAGTTAAAGCTGGGCCAGGTACGTGGGAATAAAAACTAACAATTTAATATGATACACAAGGCATTTATGTATGAAAAAGAAAGCAATTATAACGTGCATTGCAGGTGTCTTATGGTAACGAACAAATAAAGTCTGAATATATACCGTACATAAGCTAAGAGATCATTTTTAGAGAACACTCTATATTAGACTTATGAAATAAAACCAAAAAGGCAATCCAATAGTGAGCACACTTAATCTTTATCCTTATTTTTCAAATAAAAAAATTCAGCAACCATTTTTTTGATTAACTTGAGAAGATGACAGAACATATTACATTAACTTAAGCACCACTATCTCTGCAAGTTAAAAAAATTATTCCTTGAAAACTAAGTCCCGGAATCCTTCCTCCCCTTCATCACTTCTCCCGTTCATCACTTCTCTTCAATACTTCTCTTTTTCCTGCACGTTGCTGCATTGTGTTCTATTGAGCCACAAGCACTGCATCTGTTTGGCTTCCTTTTTGAATGCACTTCTAGTGCTGATTTCTTTCTCCTTGTCCTCATACGCCCTTTAGTCTTTGTTATGTCTAGATCCAAGACTATAGTGTTCTCATGGGGAGCAGCCAATTCAAATGTAAGGCGCCTTACAGTTGTGTTTGAGACCACAGAGGCTTCACCATTTTGTTGTGAAAGATGCCATTGGAGTAGTTCTTGAGGTGGAGGGATAATAGAAGATGTAGAAGCTCCAGGAGTTGGTTGTTGCTGCTCAATAGCACAACCTTGATGCTGAACCTGTTCAGAGCCTTGCTGCAGCACCTGCTCTACTGTTGTACCTTCTTCTTGTTCTTCCTTGTCTTTTTTAGAGCAACAAATTCCGCCTCTATTGCACGCCCATGAGTGGTAGCAATCTCACACAACTCATCTGACATACTACCCTGCTGAGAAATCTTTGCGAATAAGTGTGCAAGGTTTGCAAAGCGGACTGCTCTCTTAGATTTCTCTGGCATTGTAGCTATTTGAGCACCAACTTGCAACGTAGATACAGAAGTTGCATTCTCCTGTGGTGTCCACCTTTGAAGAATGTAGGGGTCTAGGATTTTTTTACCCCCTTGTCTGTCAACACTTTTAGAACATGTTAGCAAAAAATTCCATCCTTCTAGAATTTGCAGCATTGATAGCTGATTACAGCATGCTCTTCATTGTAAGTAACCTCATACGGCCTAGAGCCATATCCTCCAACAAAATCTTCAATAGGGCTCAAATGGTACACATTTGGATATATTTGCTGACAGACGTACTGTGCCATCTTCTGAAGTTTGGCGCAAAACCTGTAGTAAATGTTCCTTGTGTACGCCTCAATAGCATGCTTCTCCAAAGGATACCTTGACCATGGTGGAGGCAACTTTTGGTCCGTCCTACAATCCTGCTTATCCTTCGCTACATCGGTCTTGTCCTGGATTTTCTTGTACTGGTGGACAAAATCCAGTATGGAGTTATGTGGATTCACATATTTCTTTAGGATGGCATTGAAGCTCTCACTTTGCTAGGTCGACTGCAAGAATGGATAGAACCTGTCCATGAAGTAGACAGGAACCCAAAGATGCCTGATCTAAAACAAGTTACAGAGGATTTCATTTTCAGCAGCTCTATACTTTTCTATCATACCTTGCCACTTGCTCTCAAACTCTTCTAGACTTAGGCTATGGTTCACAATCTCATTGTACTCCTCCTCCAAGCCTTTTCTTGATGAAAAGTACACACCAAGCCTTGACTCAATCTTTGAAATGATGTGCCAACGGCAGCATCAATGCCGGGTAGATACAAAAAAGCCCTTATCGCTGCTGCTATTGCCAAGTCCTGGTTTGTGATCAAATTGAGAGGCTCCAGCCCATTCATTGCTTCTAGAAAGGCTTGGAACAACCAACAATAGGAATTTGCAATTTCATTTCTCAAGAAAGCACAACCCACTTGAATTGATTGTGCATGTCTATTAATTGTTATGAATGGAGCAAAAGGCATCTTGTATATATTGGTGAGGTATGTGCTATCAAAAGAGATATAGTCATTATAAGTCTTGTATGTGGCTCTTGCTGCACCATCTACCTAGAAAATATTCTCCACTTTGTCATCAGCATCTAGCTTAACTTTGAAGAAGAAATCATTGTCTTCCTTCTTCAGCTCATTGAAGTAAGATAGTTTCCGACATATCACTCCTCACTGCATGTGCCCTTATCCCTGCCCTTAATTTGCTCACATGCTTCTCATGATAAGGTACAGAATGTGCAGATCCATACAGCTTAGACATGAGCTGCATCATCCGGCTCATTTCCAAATTGCAATCATGCAAAAGGGTTAGTAACTGCACTTCCTCTTTTGGTATTCCGGCATGTGACCCTAGAAACTTAGCAAGCGATGGTTTGTCCACTAAGCTATGGTTGTGATCAGCAATAAATTGCTTCACAAACCACTTGTTTCAATTGAACTTGATCAACATCCTTGCTCTGCAGCTTGTGTACTTCATCTTCTCTCTTTTCCTCTTGATGCCTATGCACTTTGCCTTTTTCCCTTTTGGTTCATCCAAATCAGAACCACTACTTTTAGAGGTACCAATCTCAACATTATCAACTTCAGTGATCTCTTCATGAACACCCTTGATCTTTTTACCTTTGCCTACCTTGTTGCACACAAACAAGACCTTGTCAAGTTCCTTTGTAATGGCTGACCTCCTAGACGTTCCAGTTCTTATAGAGAAGCCCTTCCTTCTAGCATATTCATTGTAGCAAAGCTTAGCCTCTTCGATTGTATCAAACATCTTTCCAACATATGGCTCGTCGGGTGAAGAAATCACCGCTAGGAACTGCAAGTCAACATCACCAACATCAGCCTTTGTAGCTTCTGTGACACTAATAGCTGCCACTGGTTCAACTTCATTCTCGGCAGCAGCTGCCTCTATGTGTGTCTTCTAAGGAGCATTGCAGTTCTGAAATTGTAGGTAGATCTGAGACTGCATCATAGGTACTAGGTACCTGTGTACAAAACATAGGACTTCTTGTCTCAATAACATCTTCGAAGATATAATATGCCTCTGTAGGAAGCTCATTCAAATCCATAACCCTTTTCCCTGCACGTTTGAAACAAGCAATTACATGCTATCTTTCAAGCATTTTATTCCAAATTATTAGGCAACTACTAACAAAACTACTAGTACTTTCATTGGCAAATGACAATGCATTTCAAACAATCTGTCCATAACAATCAATAGGCTTACCCTCCTTAATTTTCTAATTTCTTTGTTCCTTTTTCATTTGTGATTGTTATTGACAATGTGTACATAAAAAAGAGAAACTTTAGTGAAGGGAGAATCATTTCAGAAAAGTTCTATCATCATCTATGTATATTATTCCTTAGCTTGTGCACAGTATAAATAACAGCTATGGCTCAACATCAATTTAGGATGAAACCTAACATAACATTGACAGTGACACTGCAGTCTATGTATGTAGAACAAACTAAAAAGCTTGGAAGTCTACATAAGCACTTGGATAGTTGACAGTAGCACGTGAACATATTGGGTTTATTCTCCAAATGTTTCTATGCAAGCAAGCTGTTATAAATTGTTGGGTAGCTGGTATAATTCTGTTTAGCTCTAATATGCTCTTTTTCTGCATGTTGGACAGCAATGTTGATAACACGCTTCCGGAGGCGCTCGTCTTCCACTAGACACTAAGCACCTCGAAAGTGAGCTACATCGGACAGTTCCATCGAGCACACCCCAAGGGAGAACTCGAAACAATCCACGTTTTACATCCAGAATCCAATAATGAGTACGAGCTTACAATACTTAGTCCATTTCATACAACAAGAGTTCTTAGAAATTATTTATTACAATACTAGAGTTTAGAGTGCGATAATTAAACAGAGAATGTAAATAAGCATCTAGCGGAAATGATATAAGGATTCGTCTGTGCCTACCAGAAGAATCCTCCACACAAGAGCTACTCCTCAAGCTACACATGCAACAGGGGTAAAATAAACTCTGAGTACACAATGTACTCGCAAAGACTTACCCGACTAGTGGGAATAGTTTCCCGACTCTCAAGGATATGATAGGCAATATGTGTTTGCTGTTTTCTTTTTATTTGCAAAAAGCATTACTAATAGTTCATCCTTACAGTCAAGTTTTATTAGCAGTCATGATTACTTCATTAGCTAACCATTCTAGGTAAGCACCTGTTATGCTTTCACGCAAGGGTTGAGCAATCAGAACCATTTCACCATCTTTTATTTTCCAGTTCTTACTACGGTGCTAGACCATAGCCAAGTCGTACCATCTCACGGAAATGGCGATTCATGAACCAATGTATCCCAGCTGAGTACCCCAAAACATATGCCCCGTTTGTACCCCAGGAACAAACAAGACCAACCCATTCCACTCCTGTCATGGGGTCCAGGTCCCCGTCCAAACTTAGACTCCAAGCCCCCACACTTGAGACCCGGTCTCAGTATGATGCTTAGACCTCTACCTTTCCCGTCTCCAATCAGTCAGTCCGAAAAGAGCCAGAACCCACGACAAGAGCGTAACGAGCCTTCCCGCTCCCATAAGCAAGTATGTGCCCAGGATAATAAGTTTGTGACCTGACTACCATCCATAGCAACGGACGGTCCTTAATCGACACGAATAGAGAAAATAGTGTAACCAAACTAAGCCCCGTTGGTCGGGGGACACAACCTGTTACACCCACCAATATCCATACCATATCCCTGTCCGGTCTCCATTTTTTCTTTCATCATTTTATTATGAGAGTAATGATAATCACCTACTGTGAGTAACGATAGGTTAGTCACGCTACCGAAAACTTAAGCATAGCAGCTACTCGAACCTATACTAGTAGGACTCATAGGACAGTTATATCTATGCATGTGGTTTTCATAAAATTTCCTGTAACATAAATGCACATCACACATATATATTCAGTGATTATAAAAAATAAGGGTTGTGCACCGGGGCTTGCCTTGGGCAGGCATGGTGTCAGCTAAGTCAGTCAGTGGCGGCTCTAGGACCTCCTCCTGCATGAGAATCTCCTTCTTGTACTCCTCGGCGATCTCCTCGAACTTGCAATCGCCGGTGGTCACGATCTCCGCCAACTCGTTCTCTACATGCATGCGATGATGATGCAACACTTAGCATTTAAGCAATGGCAACTCCTAAACTAAGAATATGCATACTAAGCTACTAAGCTAGTTCTAATGACTAAGGTACTAAACTAACTATCATCTTTACCAAGCAAAGTGTTGGGTTCAACTAATCAAACACCTAGCTTTACAAATAAAGGATATAACTTTATTTCTACTAATGATTTAATGTATATTTGAAACAAAGAGCATTTAACTACTGTCGATGTTTGACCACCGATAGCCTGCCACGGGGGTAAGGCTGGATAACGAGCTGGCTCGGCTCATTTGGGCTCAGCTCGTTCTGGCTCGTTAAGATAACGAGCTAGCTCGGCTCGGCTCGTTATCCTAATGAGCCAGAAAGCTAGCTCGGCTCGGCTCATTAAAAGCTCGAGCTGACTCGTTAAGCTCGCGAGCCAGGTATAAAAAATACACAAAATATAATATTTGCATTTATCTAAAGTTTGAGAATAATAATAATACAAAAGAAATGCATCTAGACCAGTTACCAGTCAATTTATAGGGTCTAGATCAGTTACCAGTCAATTGTAAAGTGCAAGACATGAAGTAATACAAAAACTAATACAAGTTTTGATACTTTTTTTCCTGAAAGCTTGGCTCATTTAGCTCGTGAGCGACTCGCGAGCTGGCTTGAGTTGGCTCGTTATAGCTAATGAGCTAAAATCTTGGCTCGGCTCGGCTCGTTATCATAACGCGCCGAGCCGAGCCGAGCCGAGTCAAGCCAGCCACGAGCCGAGTGAGCTAACGAGCTTCGAGTTTTTCATCCAGCCTTACACGGGGGTACCCGGGGCAATATGTTCGGGCTTCAGCGTATGCGGAACTCGACGGTTAACGCAAGAGACAGTCGATTTATCCTGATTCGGACCCTCGATCATTGATCGAGTAATAGCCCTACGTCTAGTCGGCGTTAGCCTTTGCGTTGGATTGATTGTCAAGTGTTGTGTCATAAGTCCCATCTCTAGGAACCCTGCCCTCCTTTATATAGTCAGGAGGTCAGAATCCTAGTCGGTTTATAATGAGAGTTCCTAGTAGGATTACAGAATAATACTACTACTAAGATTACATGGGAAGAATCCTAGTTTGACTAGATCTTCTCCCTTCCTTGCGGGGTATCCCATGGGTCCCGCACCGATAAGCCCCCGAGCACTTCATGGTTGAGCTCTAGAAGCCTCGTCTTGTTCCTTCAGGTCTTGCCGAGCAGGATCAAGCGTCGTCCGAGTGCTTTCTTGAGCGAAACCATGTAGCGCTTCGTGAGATCTTCACGTGGTGTGTACCTTTTTGAAGAAAAAAATACTCTCATTTGGGTGTAGCCCCCGAGCCTCTTGCTATTTGGCACAAGGAGCCGAAGGGTCTTCTTTTGAAATTGCTCCGATTCTTCATCGAAGGGCTCCTGAGCATATACCCGGGTTCTTTATCAAAAAGAGCTCGAATATAGCTAGGTCCAGGTTCTTTTTGTCGTGAGGCCTTGAAGTGGTCTGTCTTGAAGAAGTCTTTTTGGTGATGTGTGCTTTTTTGAAGAAAAAAGTGCACTCACTGAGTGTAACCCCTAGCCTCTTGCTATTTGGAACAAAAAGTTGGAGGGTCTTGAATCTTATGTTGTTTGAAAACTACTGTCTTGAAGAAGTCTTCTGAGTGATGTGCGCTTTTTCGAAGAAAAAAGTGCACTCACTGAGTGTAGCCCCCGAGCCTCTTGCTATTTGGAACAAAGAGTTGGAGGGTCTTGATTCTGAATTATTCAAGTTATTGAAAACCTCTTCTGTTGCAGCCCCGTCTTGAATCTGAGTTGTTCAAAGGACTGAAAGCCTTTCCTATTGCAGCCCCCGAGCATATACCTGAGTTCTTTTATTCTGCTGATGTCCCGGTTGTTTATGAGATTCCCGAGTTCTTTCTATAAGGACTAGGTTGTTGCGTTCCTTGTGAGGTAACCTTTCGTCGCTTTATGGCTGATGAGTTCTTTTTGTAGCAATATGATAACTCTGCCATGTTGCTGGATGGATAAGTTCGAAATCTACCCGTTGAACTATACCGTTGTGTGGATTTGTGTCGTCCATCATTTTAGCTGTGTTAGTAAATGGACCATTGTGTTCTCATGCCATGTTTAAACGGGCTCGGTGGGCCGCGTTTTACTGCTGTAAAATCTATTTAAAAGCCTTTCTTCTTTTTCTTTACTGCCCTGCTTTTGCCTTGAAACCCTAGTCTTTAAAACTCCGTTGCCGCCATTGTCACCGTCATCTGAGCGCCCCCGCCTGAGCATCACCTTTCCTTAGTGCTTTTATTGCTTTCGCTAGTATATGGGTAGGAAGAAATCAGCGAGCAAGTCCCAGGCAGCCTTTGTGGACGAGGAGGCCTCGCTTTCCGTGATTGAAAATCAAGAATTCATGGCCATGAAGGCTGCTCAGAAGATCTGGCCGGCTCTGACTACAACTGAGGATCAGTTGCGCGAGCTTGTCAGTGATGGTCTGATCTAGGGTAAGGAGTTTGCTGATTGGAGAGCTCCAGGCGAGCATCGGGTCCCTACTCCAGGTCCTGGTGAGATTATTCTTTTTGTCTCCTTTATCCGTGCCAGACTCTGCCTTCCTGCTTTTGCTTTTCTTCACCGATTTCTCGGCTATTTTGGGATTAGCCTGAACCATCTTGCTCCCAATGCTGTCCTTCATCTTTCTATTTTTGTTCATCTTTGTAAAACTTTCCTTGGAATTCCTCCTCTTTCTCTCTTTCGTTACTTCTTTCGTTTGAAGCCACAACCCCGCCGCGATGACACCAATGTTCTTGGTGCCTGCAGGATTCAGTTTCATCAGGGTCTTAAGAGTAATTTTTTTGATTATGACTTGGTTGATTCTATGAGGGATTAAAGTGCCGACTGATTTTATGCCGCCAATTTGATTCCTCGTCTTGCTGTTCATTCTGGTTCTGGTCC